ACAGATGAAGAAACTGTGAAGAAGCCGCCGGTGCCAGCGAGGAACTTTGTGGCGCATCGGACTGCTGAAACTAATGTATGTATGTGTTCCTTTAGTTACACTTTATGGACCCATTCACATCCTAAAATGAAGGAACACAGCGCAGTAAAAGCACATGAACTCTAGTTACTATTATAATCTATGAAGCTCTGCCCATCAGTGCGTTGCATTAGAAGGTAGTGTGTTGTATGTTGAAAAATCATGATTGCTGCATCTTATGTGCGTTTTTGTAAAAATGTGTGTACATTATAGCCAGTAACAACGCAGGGAAAACACATTAAAATTAAAATATGCATTTTAATTAATGCTGAAAATGAAGAAGAAGAAAAATCCTGCATTTTTGCTTGCACATGATTGGATGGTAAAAATCAGCAGAGCTTCCCCTCAGATCTAGACCAACTGCACTTGCAGTGCACGGTATATTTAGTATGTTAGTATTTTTAGTATTTAGCCTTTAGTAAATCAACTCCAGTGTGTTACATTTTAAAGCAGAGCTGAACCTCAACACACAAAAAAAAAATGTGAGAAGTCAGGCTCTTTACTGCAGAAGCATGCCATGTCTCTTCTGCAATAACAAACACTTGCCTGCTTGCAGTCATCCATTGAATGTACACTGGGCTGCTCAACTCAGTGTGCATTCCAGCACACCTCGGCTGTGCCAGAATGATGGATCCCGATGCGCATGCGCGGGATGACATAATTCCCCAATCAGCCAATCAAGAGGCCAAAAACTCAGCACCTGGAAGTAGGAAGGGAGAAAATGATAGCAGCTGGAAAGAAATTTAACCACGTATGATTGAGAAGATGGGTATTTCTGGGCATTTATTTCCCTTTTAAAGCAATGCATTAAAAACAAGGCTAAAAAGTATTATGTGCTTTGCGAAAAACACATATGCATTTTCTAACATGATGCTGTGAATGGGCCCTTAGAATCAATTCACATTTCACATGAATTGTCATGTATTGGCAGCTGCTACATTCTCCACCAAGAAAACCCTACAATGTGTCAACGCATTAAAAAAGGGCATCTATTTTATTTCTGGCAACACACATCAACACTCCACACTGTGAGACACCTTCAAATGTGTGTTAAAAATGCATAAATATGAATAGGCCTAAAAACAGCACAGACAAGGCTATAGGATAAAAGAAAGATCGCCTGTCGGCTCAGATCATGAATAGCAGTGCTAAGGTCATAGACACCCAGGGGCGGACTGATCATTTGGAAACTCGGGCACTGCCCGAGGGCCCGGGGTCAGTAGGGGGCCCCATGAGATGCCCCTGGTACCTTTTTCATAGGCTTTTTTGACAAGGACACAGGGGCCCCGTGATCCCCTATTGCCCGGGGGCCCCATGAGTTGTCAGTCCGCCCCTGTAGACACCCCATACATAACATTAACAAAAACGTCCGGAACACTACCCACAACACCCAGAGAGTTCACTCTGGTGCAATGGATGAAAGAGTGTAAATAGCTTAAAGCGGAACTATGCCACACCTGAGCAACACAAGCCAAAAGCACTATTTCATTCTTTTTTTAATATTCAAAGTAAATTCCCCTCCATCCATGTCTCTATGCTTTACTTTGCTGAGAAATCACTTTGAAAAACACCCCGGTAGCATTATTGGTTGTGGCCATCTGGAGTAAGGACAGATGATTCATGTATCCATTATTTCCTGGAATCCACCTGCCGTTAGCTCAGGCATGCAGGCAAGAAGGTCTGTCTAGCTGAGAAATCCCTCCTCCCCTCATGAAAATAACTGGAATGTATGACATCATTTGCCTAGGCCAGAAACCTAGAAGTAACTTAAGAAATATAAAAAAAGTATCTATTTACTAATGCTAGCAGCATAAGGTTTAAAAATAGTCAATGTTGACTGAGAGACTGAAGTTCCGCTTTAAAGTGGTATGTTGAATAATGCGTCACAGTGACACTTCCTGATATTTATTACCTATCACAGAGATCACAGTACTTGCCTTCACAATGCGTTCACCTGCTTTTCTCCCAAGAAAAACGGAGCCATCTTTGTTCAGGCAATATCCAGGGTCACTGTTTACTTCCTGGGGTGAGATGCCGACTCAGAGATGATACAATCATATACGTTCTGCTGCCTGTGCAATTCTTGGCTGTGTTCACAAATGTCTGACACAAATCAGCCCATGCTGCAGCTTCTCACCTTGTGATTTGTTAAGAAGTTACAATGTATCGCCTGAGTGATCACTGGGGGAGAGGATACTTAGGAAATGCTTTCTTCTGCCTGCAGCAGATTGATGGGTTTATCTCAGTCTAGTCAAATTCACCGACTGCAACTCAAAGACGGCTTTATAATAAAGGGTGGAGCTTTTAAAAAAAAATTTACAGTCCCTGTATATTGTAACATGTTAGGAAATTATTTATACAGACTGGTAAATTGTTGACAGGTCCACTTTAACACAAGTGTGCACAACACTGATTGCTGCTTGAGGCGTGGATTCACTTTAGTGCTATGAATCCTGATTCCAGGAGTGCTGGTGATGGAAGAGTTTATAACTTCAGTGGTAGGTATTTCTGACAACCCAGTGCTGCTTTATTTCATACATATGCACCAGAGCCTTCACTGAAGCTCCTAGTTTGTACTGTGGATTATGTGTGCACTGCACACTGCTAGTTATGTCAAGTACCGCGCTGAACTTTCAGCAGTTAACAGGCGTCTATATTGCTTTTGCACCCAAAGAATAAAAAAAAAATTGTGCATCCCTACTCTTTATCTGCTTGTTGGAAAGATGGTTGTGATAAACACATCAATCGGGGAAGAGGTAATTGCACAGCTTTGAAGTGTGTAATCTAAATGTTCCGCAGATGCCAACATCCCTGCACTGCAGATTTGACATCATTTCCCGACTGCATCCGTTTTCCTTGCAGCATTTTGTCCGTTCCTCCAGCTGATGAAACACGGCTAATGAGGCTCATGAATCACCAACCTGTACTGTGACATCACAGACACGTCTCTTGTCCCGAGGGACCTCCACGCCATTCTTGTTCTTATGGCCCTAGGCTCCCGCTCCGTTAATCTACTAAGTTAACAAAGAGGAAAGATGAATGGTAAACAGACAGCGTATACATGGCATTAGCACAATGTATCAGTTCCATACGCAGCGCTCCTGGTCATTAGCCATTTCCATTAAATGTCTGCACTTTGCTTCATTTGCTCCATTCATGAAACAGAGTGTGGAGGCAACTTCTGGGTCAGATGGGGCAGGCAGGACCAATCCTCTTCTGTGTAACGACCCTGATTCATTAAACTGCAAGTCCAAAAGCTTGCACGTCTTAAAAAAAAAAATCACTCAAATTAAAAGTAACTTAAAAATTGCATGATGAATTTAAACAATAACAAGGAGGAGGGTCCAGAACGAGATCGTCGAGCTTTCATCTAGCTAGACATTTGTCAGGAGCCATGGTAAGCCAGGTATCCTGAATTATCTACCAGATGATGCAAAAGAAAATTAAAATCTGAACATTGATGACCGAAAATGTTAAAAAATAAAAAAGTTATTAAATTGTAAAAAGACTTTACATTTTGCTTACCCAAAAAATTATACATGTAGAGACCACCTTGTACAGCTTAGACTCCATTAAATAGAATGCAACCCAAAAATATTTAAAGACTAAGTTCACATTTTAAAAGAAAAAAATAATAAATGCACATTTTTGTGCAGGTAAAAATATGTGCATTTATTTTTTTTTTTCTCTAAGGAGCCTGCAGAGAATTGCACCCACAATCAGCAGATCGTGTGTGTAATCTCAGGCTCCTGCAGACTCTCAGGATAGCTGTCTGCCCATAACTCATAAAGCAAGTAGTTACTTGAGAGCAGGAAGATCAATGAAGTACCAAAGTGATCACCAGCACACTTGTAGTTAACTGAGAATTACAAGCCATCAGCTGCACTGGCTGACAGTACTTGTCGTCTATCCATTCACAGAAAACAATGTGGGCCAAGTCCAGTATGGCCATGCTGTTTTCAAATAGTGGCAGCGGGTGCGAGGAGAGGATCCCCTGCTTGCTGTTACAGGGAGGGGGGAATCGGGGAGAGAAGCTGCAGATTATAGAACATGTTACATGTCCGCCCTAAAAAACGGGTGGAACATGTAACATGTTCCAAAGGTGAACTTATCCTATAAATAACTTTTCTGTGAGGTAAGTAAGCATCCTGCAAGAAATAAATGAAATATTGTGGCCAATGTGAGGCATTATCTGTGTGTGTCAGAAGGCAGTAGGCTTATCACAGGAGTTCTCATGCACTGGTGGCTCCTGCGGACCCTGTGGAGTAAAGGAGACACCTGCATACAGGAAAGTGGGGCAGAGTTTATGGGATCAGCCAAACAAGGAAAAAAAGACCAGTTTTAAAAGGCAAAGCATTTAAGCTAGGTTCACACTTGTGAGTTGCAGGAATGCACACAACATCACACCATTCCTGCTAAAGCGCGGCACTACCATTTTTAATAATGTTTAAAGTGTTACCCACAACAGTAAAATCAGTCTGTATATGAAGTAAAGAATGCTCATTATACTCACTGTGGAACCTAAGGGGTTAATCCTCTGAATTGTTTAAAAAGGCTGTTTGATTCTGTCTTCTTTGATCCTCCCCTTCTTCTACTGTCGCCAATCCATCTGCTGATAGTACAGAGCTCTAGGAGTCACTTTGCACATGCCCAGTTTAGTAGGTATTGCTAGCGAGTTTTTTTTTTTCTTTGGGAGGGTACATGTGATAAACACAGGGCCAATCAGCACTCTTCAGATAGAGGGTCAGGGGTCATGCAGTCTCCTAGGACAGTCAGAGGGGAATAAAAATTCCTCCTACAAGATTAGCCAGTGCTCAGCTGGACACTGATAGAAGTCACAAGACTGCTATATACTGCTGATGAGAAAAGGTATTTAGCATTTTATATTTACTAAAATAATAGCACTTCCATGTCATGTGTACTGTGGGAGACCAGATATAGTGAATGCAGGGTCCGGGGTTTAGTAACACCTTAAGTAGACAGCAAGCTAGTACAAAGTGACAGAATATCAGTCTTATCAGAGATCATTACAGGTCTAATGCAAACAAAATTCTACCCAAGACTATATCTCTTCTGTAGATGGTCAACATATGTTATCGAAACTTACCATATGCACCACTACTTCCATAATACTGTACTTTTTCAATTTTACAAAATAAGAAATAGGAGAGGAAAGATGTAGACTGCCCCCATCAGAACCCAAGAGGGGAAGTTATATCTAACTCGAAGAAACAACGAGGGGAACAAAGGTGGGGTTAAAAAGTGAGAATCCATAAGGCTAAGGAGATTGTGTACAGGAGGCAGAAAACATTAATTCCTAATGGCACCCCAATGCACTCTTCACGCACGCTAAAAAGCACAGTAATAGAGTACCATGCATTTTGGTGTGGGTGATTTAAAAAAAAAAAAAAGGTCATGCACTTCCTTTGTTCGGTTTTGGCATGTAGAGCTGCCCAATAAAATGAATAAGCTGCCACAAACACATCATGAAAAAATGCATGCACGCTGTCGCAATTACATAGGTGTAAATGGAGCCTTAAAGTAAGTGTGGGTCTCCTCTGCTGAAATATATAAAAATAGGATTTGATATCACCATAACAGAATTTTTAATGCCATATTAGTAGTGACCTTGTGCTGGAAAACAGAGATAATTCACCAACAATCTGGCCTTAACTGTTCCTGAACACCCATAAATGTTCCATCTCACTTGACAACAGCTAAATATCCCCAGCTCCTGGCCAGAGAGGTTGAGCTGTGTCAAATACACATGCATCCATTGTACAAAATGTTCCTAGGGCTACTTTGGAGTGCTAAACAAGTCCCAGTTCCCACTAGTGCAACCTGAGTTGCAGAGAATGGCATTACAAGGGAAATCTCATTGTTTAAAATGGTGTCCACTGTAATCAATGAGACTGTTTACAGTGCAATTTAGCCCCATAGAGTATGCAAAGTTGCACTGTAAATTGCATCAAAGTCCCATCAAAGTAATGTGAACCAAGCCTTAGTGAATCAGGTTCAACTGAAGAAAACACTGAGAGTGCTAAAACAGGGCAAAATAAATGTGCAAACCCATTTCACCCTTTAGTGGGCTGGGCCAATTGGGCCTGAGTTCTGAAACTAGAATAAATTAAAATGTAGTCCACAGTAACCACCTTTTATTTCCCTGTCCAGAATAAAATGTACAGGGAAATAAAGAAATGAAAAGCACTTATGTCGCCACTGTTTCTGGAGAGAAGTACAAGGAAGCATTTGTACTGCTGCGATAGTTCTTCATCCAGCCGATTTCTACATTAGACCCCATGAACCCCACAATAATTCATCTAAGCCCCCCCCCTCCTTGAACATGTGCTGGAGGAGGAGAGGACACAGGAATGATCTGCACTGATGAGGATATAATTAAGATGTATAGTTGTGCCCTAGAAATGAGCACTCTTGGTAAAGGGAGGTCGCTGCGGACCTTTACCACTTGTTAGTGAGTGTCAGCTCCCCGATCATTATCCTTCAGAATCCCCCCTCCTCACTGGGCCTAATTGCCTCAATAATTATATGAGCATAGCCAAGCAGCAGAGGGCTCACTGTGCCCTTTATGGATTACCAGACATAAAACAAGCGAAGTGGAAACTATGCATTGCATATGTTTAATTGGCAAAGCCGTTAATTTCACATTTATTGAAATTAATGACGTGGCCCGCCCAGCACTTGACGGAAGAGCGTAGATGGTAGCCTTTGGTTGTTTCCAGTCTTCTCTCTGTGCTGAGTCCAATAATAATTCTAATTGACAGTAATCGATTGAAGGATTTAGACCCAAATCAAGGCAGTGTCTCTCCTGCGTCTCCTCTGCCTTGTTAAGGAGATTGTATCTAATTAGCCAAGCGCTGGAATGAGACAGAGATCGCTGTTTCCTCTGAAAGGAAATTAGAGTTGGGCTTGTTTAGTAAAATGGCCATTTTCAGTTATCAGTCTGACGCATTCTTATCTCATCCCCCTCCCCTCCCGTCCCTCCGCTTTGTTCACGTGTCGGTAGGCCTCTGATAAGTTGCAGTTTGTTTTTATCGCTGGCTCTTGTAATATGTATCTGTGACTGAACTGACAAGGTTGTAGCCCTCTGATTCATTGATTAGTACACTAAATGCTTTTACACTTCTGATTTACTACAGAACGGACTTAATTAAACAAACTGAGACACGTAACCTTCCTCCTGGGATAACAGCAGTTTGTTTATTCCATAGCAAGAGAAGCGCGCAGCCTGACAAGACATAAAGGGTAGAGTAGGAATGCTTATGGAGGAGCCAGATACTATGGAGGTGGAAACATCACTAAACCCTTCGCCCCCATATGTACAAAATGGAATAAGATGTTCCTATAGCTGTATGACAATTGCAGCACTGAATGCTCCTTCCAGCTCCTCTCATTAGTTCATCAGTTCTATAAAGTAATGCGCACAGGTCATGGCACTACAAAAACAGATAATACTTTAAATTAAAAGGGATTCACATAAAAATCTCCAGTACAATGTACACAATCTCAGCTTATGTGTACACGGTTTCCTCTACTACATGTGAGCTGTCACACTACTTCCACTGAAGATCAAAAATTACTAATCAGCTCCACAACTATCTCACTGTGGGTGGGGGGGACTCCCAGAATCAGGATGCTACTAAATAAAGCCTTATTTCCAATTACAAACCAAAACCTTTAAAGCAGTAGTAAAGTATAATAAAAAAAGTAGTTGGTTTCCCTGCAGGCTCATGTCATAATGTGTCTTCTATCCAGGTCTGCACACTCCAGAGGTTTGAATGGCCGGGTCGCGATGACATCACTCCCACACAAACACACGGTAGGCACAATCATGGCACAGCACTCTGGATCAACGGCACACTCAGTGTGCCTTCAATTCACAGCGCATTGCGCATGCACTGGTCACGTCACCGGCTACTGCAACAGTAAATGTCTCCTAAATGGTGTAAGTTTAGATGGTATTCACTATACCTACAAGTCAGCTTTTTTTTTTAAGGTTACCTGTATGTACAAGTAAAAAAGCAGAGTTTACTACCGCTTTTTATCCACTATAGGGATAAATATTGTATTATTTATGATTTTGTCCAGAGTTTCACTTTCAGGAAAATCCTTTACTTCTTCCACACAATAGCTTTTCATTTTCCCTATTCATAAGCCATTTTAATTTGTATTTTTCCTGCAGTTTATATAAATTCCACATGCTTATTTCAGGAAGATACTGTAAAGAAACTTCCAATTACAAGTACATTGTCACCAGATTGGAACATCCTGCAGGATATATACAGCTGTCCCTTCACCATGCATGGAGGAGAGACCAGACATCCCACAAATCTCTATTCCACCTGGATAGCAAGGTAAGCCATAGATGGTGCTATTTTCTTTCCTGTAACAAAAATTGCTTGATTCCCCCATCAACACAGTCAGTGTTGATGGGGGGAAACCCTCCAGCAGAGCTATTGTGTTCTGCTGACAAGGAGCCTTCCCTGGCAGCAAAACACCATGATTACTGCTTGTGGCTATAGCTGCCGGCAATAATTGTATGTAAAAAACCTGACAGGCTGGTTGTACTGGAGTCAAATTATGGATCGACTTGGGTACAACCAGCCTGTCTATATATGGATTGAATCTCAGTCAGTCCCTCCTGAACTGGCCGAGATTCGATCCAATATATGGCAAGCTTAAGGGTTATCAGTTTATTCTACATTTTACTGGCTAACATGGTACAGCCACGCCACAACTCCAGTTATTCTGCACATGTTGTCAAGGCTGCCTTGAACATCCCTACAATGGAGCCACCCATTATTAACTGGAATCAGACAAGGAGCTGCTCAGCAAATTTCTGACAGCATGTTAGCTACATGACACTAGAGCCCATTCAGGCTACATCACCAACCTTTGATGATGGTCATCTATGGACCACCATGGTCATTTAAGTTCCCTGGAGATGTGACTGATATGATCACTGTATGGCTCACCAGATAAAGTCATCTAAGTAGGTCAACAGAAGAGACTTTCCAGTATATTGTTATGAGGCATGGCAGTTCTAGACGGATGGTTGTGATAGGCAGTTAAATATCTCAAAGGACGCAAAAGTGATCAATCTTTGATTCTGAAACTGGTTGGATGTGGATGCCTGTTAGAGCTCCACATATAAGAATGGTGCACAATCTGGTTGGTTAGAACAGTGTTTCTCAACCTTTTTTCAGTCAAGGCACCCTTGAAAATTATGGACAGTCCCCAGGCACCCTTGAAAATTATGGACAGTCCCGAGGCACCCTTGAAAATTATGGACAGTCCCGAGGCACCCTTGAAAATTATGGACAGTCCCGAGGCACCCTTGAAAATTATGGACAGTCTTGAGGCACCCCATTCTAAAATGGGGTGCCTCAAGACTGTCCATAATTTTAAAAGGGCACCCCATTCTAAAATGTGAAAAACTGTTCTAATAGCTTTATATAACGCAACAACATCCTCACATGTAGGACACCCAACATTAGAGGTGATTTATTCTTCCAAAGCAAATACACTTTTGCATACTGGTACTGACTAGTATTCCAGTGTTTCTCCTCTCCCTCAGTTTTTCACTATCACTGAGGTAATGTGGCCCCAGCACTGATGGAGATGGGCAGGGGAGGGTCAAACTAGGATGCTGTGCAGGCAACCGACATCCTCCTTATCAACTAAAGATGTCATTGGTTGTCAGGACGCCGGCAGCTAGAAGGTCGTAATGGTGCACAATGAAAACCTGTAGCTTTGTGTAACTAAAAGGCAGGCTTGTTCCATCCGCTGGCTTGTATACAAGTTTTGGGCAATTTTTAGACATTTTGCCAAGGCACCCCTGAAGGAACCTCAAGGCACCCCAGAGTGCCTGGGCACCCTGGTTGAGAAAGGTTGGGTTAGAATAATATCATGTCTGTGATCTACTTTCCTGTACTGACAGACTCCCCATTGGATCTGAGTATCAGGTTATGTATTCCTGTGCTAATACTACATT